GATAACCGTGCAAACACTGTCGGGGGAAATTCGCGGACGAGTGGAAGGAAGGAAGAGGGGAAATATGAGCTGTGGAAGTAGAAGAGGGGGTATGCAATGACGGAATAGACGATGTAACGATCTCAAATGGAATAGTTCTGGTGATGATGATGATGATGATGGTGATGATGGTGATGATGATGGTGATGATGGTGATTATGTTGATGATGGTGTTGATGGTAGTGTTGATGATGATGAAGATGGTGCTGGTAATGAACATGATGATGAATGGTGATGCTGCTGATGATGACGATTCTTATGATGATGATGGTGATGGTGATTAGAATTATGATGCTGATGCTGATGATGATGATGATGATGATGATGATTCTGATGGTGATGGTGGTGATGGTGATGCTGATGATGATGCTGATGGTGCTGACAGTGCTGATGATGATCATGATGCGATGGTGCTGATGGTGATGATGGTAGTGATGATGATGGTGTTGATGATGATAATGATAGTGATCGTGATGATGATGCAGCTGATGGTGATGATGATGATGGTCATGATGATGGTGATGATGATAGTGATGATGCTGATGATGATGATTATGATGCTGCTGACTATGCTGACGACGACGATGCTTCTGCTGATGATGATGCTGACTACGATCATTGTGTTGATGATGCTGATGATGCTGAAGATGCTGGTGATGTTGATGATGATGCTGATGCTGCTGATGATGATGATGCTGATGCGGATAAAGATGCTGATGCTGATGATGCCGATTGTGATGGTGATAATGATGGTGATGATGATGGTGATGATAGTCATGCTGATGATGGTGACGAGGGTGATGATGACGATGATGATGATGATGATGATTATGATGATTACGATGATGCTGATGCATATGATGATGATGATGATGATGATGATGATGATGATGATGATGATGATGATGATGATGATGATGATGATGAGGAGGATGATGAGGATGATGAGGATGATGATGATGATGATGATGATGATGATGATGATGATGATGATGATGATGATGATGCTGGATCAAAGAGGCAGCCGCGTTCCCGACATGCGACACACCTGGCCAGCCGCAGAAGATCACATTTATATTAAAGTTCCTAGGGCAGGTTCTGGTGCCCGACAGCGAGGAATAGTGTCGATCTATGATGGTCGCTATTCCCGACCCCGAGCATCCGCTGCGCGTGGCGACGCCGCCGGAGCTCCCGACCGTCCTGCTTCAGACCAAGGGGCTTCTGATCCAGATTGAGCCCTTGATCGGCGAGCTCGTGAGGCATGCTGTGGGGAAGACGACTGTGAGTAAGGCTCCCCGTGGCAACCTGGCCAGGAAGATAGTGTCAAAGCGTGATTTAGTGCTGGATAGGTTGGTGAATGGTCTTGCCGCAGTTAGCCCAGTGCGATCGCCAGCTGAGCTGGCAGTAGCTCTGTGTTTCCTGTGCTGGATCACTCACCCGTCGTGAAGATCCTCAGCCCCCGATGGGCTGCCGTTTGCAGTTCTGAGTTTCTTGATGCTCGGCCCAGATAGGGCCTTGGCCTAGACAGGCCCTGGCCAGTCTCTCGTACAGCGACCTAATGTGTAGGTCATTTGCGGACCCTAGATGGGTCAACGCCATGCTATGCCATGTAATGATATGCTCTGCTGTGACATCCGACTGTGCGAATAGAGAGAAGATCTACGCCATGGTAAGGGATGGGAGGGAGGGTTAAGACGTCAGATGTTACGCGAACGCACCCAGCTTGCCTCTCCCCCCTCCCCTCTCCCCTCCTTTTCTCTCCTCTCCTCTCTCCTCTCTCCTCTCTCCTCTCTCCTCTCTTCTCTACTCTGTCCTTTCCCCTCTCCTCTCAACTCTCTCTCCTCTCTCTCTCTCTCCTCCCTCCTCTCTCCTGTCTCCTCTCCTCTCTCTCCTCTTCTCTCTCTCTCTCCTCTCTCTCCTCTCTCCTCTCCTCCCTCCTCTCTTCTCTCTCCTCTCTCCTCTCCTCTCTCTCCTGTCCTCTCCTCTCCTCTCCCCTCCCCTCTCTCTCCTCTCCTCTCCTCTCCTCTCCTCTCCTCTCCTCTCCTCTCCTCTCCTCTCCTCTCCTCTCCTCTCCTCTCCTCTCCTCTCCTCTCCTCTCCTCTCCTGCTCTCCATGCTCCCTCAGGGTCCGCATGTGGTGGCCGCCCCATTCTGGCACCGCCTCATTTCGGCGGACCCCTCACACGTTTCATGGCCCCATAGGGAGCTCCACCGAAGGGCCGAATGGCAGGGTGCGCATGCGGTGCCCGCCCAATTACGGCACACTCCTCACACGTTTTGTGGTCCTATTGGGATTTCCACCGAGGGCGTCGGTGGCAGGTCCGCTTGCGATACCCGCCCAATTTCCGCACACCCCTCACACGTTGCGCGGCCCCATAGGGAGCTCCACCGAAGGCCCCAGTGGCGGGGTCCGCACGCGGGACCCGTCCAACTTCGGCACACCTCTCACACGTTTCGTGGCCCCAGGGAGTTCCACCGAAGGCCCCAGTGGCGGGGTCCGAATGCGGTGCCCGCTTGATTTCGGCACACCCTTCGCACGTTCCGTGGTCCCATAGACAGCTCCGCCGAAGGCCCCATTGACAGGGTCTGCATGCGCTACCTGCACCATGTTCGCAGACCCCTTCCTGCACGTTCCGTGGCCCTAGAGGGAGTTCCACCGAAGGCCCTTGCGGCAGGGTCGGCACGCGGGACCCGCCCCGTGTCGGCGCACCCCTCATGAGGATCGTGGCCCTACAGGGAGCTTCACCGAAAGCCTAAGTGGCAGGGTCCGCATGCGATACCCGCTTCATTTTGGCGCATCCCTTACGCGGTTCGTGGCCCCATAGACAGCTCCACCGAATGCCACAGTGTCAGGGCCGCACTCGGGACCCGCCCCATTTCGGCAGGCCCGTCACACGTTCCGTGGCCCCATAGAGAGCTCCGCCTAAGCCCCCAGTGGGTGCGTCCACATGCTGCTCCCTGCCCATGTCGGCACTCTCGTCACACTTGTCGTGGCCTTTGGCCCCAGGAGAAGATCCCCTCCTTCGTCCCAGTTGCTCTGCAGTGCTCACACTTGCATTTGGTTGGGTCCTTCGCCAGGAAAGGTTTCGCAACGTGGCTCCCCAATGCTCTGGACTCTTTCCCGTGGTCAGCTCTTCATCCGGAGCAGTTTCTTTGACGGGCCCCGGGGCCTGGTGCGGGCCCCCAGAGGCCGAAAGCTGCCACAAGCCTCCCGTCGTAGTTTACCCAGCGAGAGGATGCAGGGGCCACTCCCCTCTCCCTCCCTTCCCCCCTGCCTCCCTCCCTTCCCTCCCTCCTGCTCTTGGGGGCAGCCCTGCCAGGTCAAGTCGATGGCGCTGGGCCTCGCCCACACCCTGTCACGCTTCAAGCTGAAGTTCTCGCCGGACAAGGAGAGGGCCCTCGCCGTCCAGCGTCGGAAAGGGGAGGGTCAGGGGCAACGTTATGGGGGGATACAGTCAACCCGTATCACAATGATGTGCGGTAAGGATGCAAGGGCTTTGTAGGGCCAGGTAGCGTTTTTCGAACGAGGTCAGCCAATGAAAGTGGCCAAGGATGGGCCGAAGGGACAATGATGCAAGGTCACCTTTGGGAAGGTTGCCCGTCCCTACCATGCGGGTCGGCTGTAGGCTCCGGGGGGATGCATCGAACCCCAATCGTTCCCCGAGATCCTGTCGCTTCAATTTTTTTTGAGCCGGACGTTTTCGCTCAGTTTCGGGCCCCTGGGACCCTCACATATCGATCTGGTTCGAACAATGGCGCAAAAAGGTGGGGTCCGGAGCTTCAGTCATGATTTTTCAAGATGTCTCAACTTTTCGAGACGTCGGATCTCAGGGTTGGCGGCGCGCACAGGGGGGTGTGGGAAGGGGGGGAGGCTTCTTAGAAGCATCCCTGCTTCCTAGAAGGCGCGGGCCTCGTCTGTAGATGTAGGGCCAGCGCCTTGCAAGAAGCAGCCTCTTTCTAAGAAGCCTCCCCCCTCCCCCTACCCCCATGTGCGCGCCGCCAACTTTGTGCGTGGAAGCTCTTCACGCGCGTGCAGTCAAGACAAGAAGGACCACCCCGGACTCGGGAGGGGCTCTGGTCTTCGGGTCGTTCCTGAGACCAAGGTCGGGGAGCCTGTTCGCGGCCGACGCTCGCCGCGGCCTGGAAAGCCCGCTTGCGCGCGCCGCCAAGATCGCCGAGGCGAGGGTTCGAGGGTCCTGCGGAGGCCCCCCCCCGAGGGTGTGGAGGAGGAGGAGGAGGAGGCAGGAGGAGGTGGAGGAGGAGGCGGAGGAGGAGGAGGAGGAGGAGGAGGAGGAGCAGGAGGGAGGAGGGACGAACGGAGGGAAGGAGGAGAATGACGAGAAGGAGGACTGCTTGCGAGATTTTTCACTGTCGTGAATGTGTCACTGAGGAGACTTTAGGGATCCTCTGGGGTATTAGGGGTCTCGTGGTTCGAGGAGTGACGGGGGAGGGAAAGAGGATGGGTTGAGGCACGAGGCACCGACAAACTGGCACAACTCTCCCTGCACCCATCCAATGGGAAGTAAGATACTGGAGGAGGAGGAGGAGGAGGGGGATGAGGAGCAGGAGGTGGAGGAGGAGGAGGAGGGGGATGAGGAGGAGATGACGAGGACCTTTCAGGACCTTTCCGGCACAGCTGTATTTCCATGAATGGTACATCATCATTCAGGAGGGGAACGGGCAGGACACTAGACATTTGGAGAAAGACCAGCCTGCTCCTCGAGAGTTGTTGCACGCCAGCCTGCCTAAACCATACCAGGAGGCCGCAGCTGTAGCGGGGCTGTAGCGGCCGCGCATGTTGCAGCATTGTATCGCCACTGAGCGATATTGAGCAAGTCGCTCTTGCCGGCTACAGAGCTTCGACCCTTCTCCTCGTTGTATCGGGGGAACGGGAGGGTTTGTGCCAGCAGGGGTGTTAAAGGCACAGTGCTCTCGCTCGCTTCAGCATCAGGGGCTGGGGGGAAGGGTGTCAGAAGACGGGGTGGACCTGTGGAGATCTACGGATACCTTGGGGAAGGTGGTATACGAGTGCGTGCGTCTTATTTTCCTTGAGATACGTGGGGGCGGTCGTGCGGGCATGCACGCGAGCGTGCGTTCGTCAGAGTTGGAGCTGGGTGGGGGGCTGAGGTGGCCCAGCACTTGCTCCGAAGGGTGAGAAATGGGCCCCCTCATCGCCACTGCTGGACGCGGCACCGACAACTTGTCAGTTTCGACCCTGGGATGGGTCCTGGGACCACTTTTGAGCGGATTCACCCTCATGCCCCCGTCTTGACCGATTTTCACTTGGCTTATCCAGCGCAGACCCCCTGGCCGCCTCTAATGTCGTAGGCTCTCTCTCTCTCTTTGCCATTGCAGGTGGACGTCATGATCATGCAGGCCCGGCCGCTGCTTTCTGAAGATGAGGGCGTCGAGGATCAGCGGACCACGAGTGTGGGCACACTGGTGATGTACAGGGAGCGCAGCACAGCATCTAGTGTTTTCTGGACGTGCGCTGCAATTACTGCTGTAGTCGCATTGTGTGGTTTCCAACGGTATCTGAGCTCCCCTCTCCGTTTCGGTCTTCATCTCCGTGCCCGTGAACCCCCGACCAACTGAGACATTATTCGCGTTCGAGCGATACCTCCACGGGGTTGTAATTGCCGGGCGGGTTGCTCTTCCTTCGCTCTCCTCCTCTTCCTCCCTCTCCCCCTCCCTCCTCCCCGTCTCTTCCCCGCTGCCTGTCGTCTAGTCTCTCAGTTCAACTTGCTTCCGTTATGAATCCGCCTGTGCGCCTGAAACTGCCCGCGCGCCCACCGTGCGGACGAGGCGGTCGGGCTTCTCGATGACCTGGACAAGGAATTGAACAACTTCGCCATGCGACTGCGCGAGTGGCGCCCGAGGGGGCAGGGTCACAAACCTTATCCGCGGGAGCCTGGGACAGTCATGCCGAAGGAAAGCCAGCCAGACGGACGGCAAGCGATACAACATCGTGAGCTATTCGAGCAGATGCAGTGTAACGACTGGTTTCTTCGGTCCTTGTGTGTGTGTGTAGCTTTGTTATTGCATGCAATTGGCGCGCCGAAACGTGGCGGGTCCCGCGCGGTATCTGCACATTTCGGCAGACCCCTCGCACGTTTCGTGGCCTCATAGGGAGCTCCACCGAAGGCCTCAATGCCAGGGTGCACATGCGGTACCCACCCCATGTCGGCGCACCCCTCACGAGTATCGTTTCCCTGCAGGGAGCTCCACCGAACGCGGTACCGGTCTTTCGCCAGGATAAATATCCTGGGCAGTTTTGATCTGGGGGGCCCACGTTGCGGAGAGAATTACTGGTGGGACTTTTGGCACAGTGGGTGACGGACTGGACAGGTATGCCTTTTGGGCCTACGCAGCCTAGAGGTTTAGGCCATTCCACTGGCCCCCAGGTGTACTTCGCGACGGCTTCCCGAGACCTTTCAAAGAAGGAGCTGCGGAGGAGAGGGAGGATGTAGGAGGGCGTGGAGGAGGCAGGCGGGTTTGATGTCTTGGAGTGATGGACGGTTAGCCGTCACTCCCAGGTTTGTCGAGCGAGCGTCGTGGGATTTCGTTCCCCGCTCTATCGAGGACGCCACGCATATCCCCTCCGCATCGTATCGGGATTTTGCCTGGAGAATGCGGAGGAGTATAAAGAGCAGGGGAGGGGAGTAAGAAGAATCTGCTCTCCCTTCAGGTGTCATTCGGTGCATGAGTGTGCGAACTTCAGACGACCCTGCCAAACAGCTGATTTTTGGGTCATCGGTTCCAGGTGCGTACACAGCATGAGGCTGGGGAGACATCCGCAGTCTTCTGGCTCAGGCCAGCTTGATTCAATCCTTCCTGAATCAAGCGTTCCGTTAGTGATGGGAAGAATTTTACCGCGGCTTGACCATCCTCTCTCCATCGGTTGCTGCGTACCGTCCACTGCTCCACTGCTCACCCGCTGGACTCTGCTCTGTCACTCATCTGCTGCGCCGCTGCGTCTCCCCCTCGAGGATGTGGGGGGCGCCGTGGGAAGGCGGGGGCCATGGGGGGGAGGGGTCGCTGGGGAGTTCTCCGAACAAGGACGCCCTCGAGGGCGCAAGGTCGTTCGCGCTTCGCGCTTCGTGCTTCGCGCTTCGCGCTTCGCGCTTTGCGCTTCGCGCTTCGCGGGTCGGCTTCGATCCCTCATTCTCCTCTTCTCCCCCGGGGGGGGGCGTCTCGAGAGCGCTCATTCTTTCGCGCTTCGCGCAGCGCGAAGCGCGAAGTCAGGCGCCCTTGCTGGAGGTCTCCGGAGGTCTCCTCCAGAGGACCCCAGAGGTTCGAGTAGGGGATCGACTGCAACGTTGATTTATCCCAAAATTGATTCTTCGTCGAACCCACGAGAAAAAAAGCAGAATGCTCAATTGATCGTCGGAGGATTCTACGCAAGTTCCGTATATTCGTCGAGCAAGATCGATTTTAGGGTAAGTCAATTCTGTAGTCGATCCCCCGCGCGAGAGGTCCTCGGAGGCACCCGATGGGTCTCCGGAGGGCCGAAGGAAGGGAGGGGCCGAGCGCGCGCCGCAGCCGCAGCCGCGGCTCGCGCCTCCGCAGGTACGGATGGCACTTCCCCGAGATGGGGAAGATTGTCACGGAGAACCTCGCGTACGCGAAGGCTTCCGAGCGCTTGCCGTGGGCGGCGAGAGCTTCGCAGATCCTCGAACTTTCGACACATTTTTTTCGAGGACTCGACGAGGAAAATCATTTCGGGGTGAATCAATTCTGTAGTCGATCTCCTACTCGAACTCTCGGCCCCGTGCGGGGGTGGCTGCTTGGCCGGCCTGGGGTCGGCACGGCACGGGTCCGGGGGCAGGAGCTGCCACCCTGGTGGAGGGGGTCGAGGCCTGTGAGGCCCACGGCGGCGAGCGAGGTGATGAAATGAGAAGGAGAAGGCCTTCTCAGAAGGCGGTGGGACTTCTCAGAAGCCCTCGCGCCTTCCAACAAGTTCTGTCAGTGTCTTCGGGAAAGGCTCAGAAAACTTTTCAGAAGGCCGGGGGACTTCCGTGTCTTCTGAGAAGGCCCGCCCCTTCTAATTTCCTCCCCGGGCTCGCCGCCGAGTAAAGGAGAGGGGGAGTGGAGAGTGGGGAGGAGATCGTCTAGGAGGCGGTGAGAGGTTGTGGAAAGGTGATGCGGAGGCGGAGATGATGATGATGCTGATGATGATGATGATGATGACGATGATGATGATGATGATGATGATGATGATGATGATGATGATGCTGATGATGATGATGACGATGATGATGATGATGATGATGATGGTGGTGGTGGTGGTGATGATGATGATGATGCCGATGCTGATGCTGATGCTGATGGTGCTGCTGATGATGACGATGATGATGATGATGATGATGATGATGATGATAATGATGGTGGTGGTGATGATGATTATGATGATGATTATTCGTATTACTATTATCTTTATTATTTGTATCATAACTCTTATCTTTATTTTAGTATCATTAGCATCATTATTACCAGTATTACCATTATTTTAAGTATTATCATTATTAGTATCTCTATTATCATTATTACTATTAGTATTATTAGTATTATTATTACTTCTAGTATTACTATTATTGTCATCATCATTAAAGAAAACCAGCATCTTGCGCCTCTGACTATGTTGTCGGCCCCCCCGTCTCCCACAGCAACTACTCCCGCTTGATATTTCCTTTCGCTTTCGTGAGAAATCGGGCTGTCGCTCCCAGAAGCTTATGCATGAAGCGCGCTCTCGTTTAATACTTCGTATTCACGACTCATTCCCTCGGCGCGCTGGAATCGCGCTCTCGCGCGGGACTTCCTCATGCTTTACTCAGGAAGCGCGCTCTCGCTTGAGACTCCCTTGCCATCTCCTCTTGCTATTCCCTCTGGCTAGTCCCTCTTATCCTCCATCTTCTCCCTCCCTCCCTGTTGCCTCTTTCCCTCATCCCTTCCTTCCTTCCTTCTTCCACTGCGTTTCTCCTCGCTCTCTTCCTTTCCCTTTTTCCTCTTCTCTCTGTTTGAAGTCTTCCTCACTTACACATGGTAGGGAAGGAATACACACCCCGCAAAGGGGGCACGATCGAAGACGAAGAGGGCGGGTATCGAGGGTTGGGGATATATTTGTTGAATGGCACGCGAACGCAAAAGAGTGTTCAGTGTGGAAATTATGGTGGCGTTGCCATCTCGAAAGAATATGTGTTGTCGATCCCCCCTCTGGTACCTATTGTGTTTTTCAATTTACATGCTCCTCCCGTTCTGTCCAACGAAGAAGTGTCGAGGCTGTCAAAGGAGGTCGCAGCGGCCATCCTCGAAGAGTTCACCATCTGGGCCAATTACAAATTATTCGAGAGGCGACCGCTAATGGGCGCCCGAAACGTGATGGATTCCGGAGATGACTCCAAGTGGGGACACCTGAAGGAATCAGACGGCACGACTGTCCAGATCATCTGGTGCCGCATACCGGAGGGGCTTCCGCGACATGGGCGCCGGAGCCTTGGAGACCTTCGCTGGTGCAGCGCAGCGGGCGTCACAGCGCCTGCGGTCCTCGGGGGCGGCGCGCCGCCCAGACTGGGTGTGCGTCGCTGTGGGCATCGAGAAGGCATTCCTATGCCGAAATGCATGAACTATGTGGAGAGCCCCCCCGCGAGGTGAAATTTTCGAGCTTCGCTTTGCTGCTCAGCAGTGCAGCCATCCTCCGGCAGGTGCCTGGCTACGAGAGGTACTACGAGCAGATTGCGTGCTTGCGCTGCATCAAGCCGGGTACAGGCTGCAAGGATGCGCCCAGGGCCTTTTCCATGAAGCTCGCCCAAATCACGCGCTCGCCAGAGTACGCCGCAAACCCGCCAGGTGGGGCCTGGAGCTAGAAGTCAAGCGCGAGACGCCAGGGCACCTGTAGCACCAGCGTCTCGGAGCTAGTGGCTAGTGCCAATGCTGTCCAACCGTGTCAACGATCTGAAGATCGCTGGACACAAGGAAAACGTCGACCTGTTAACCAGCCATATCGATGTCGTTGTTGGCAACATGAAGGGTGATCGCGATGATTTTACCAACTGCGGAGTGCGTCAGCGTCGCAGTGCCGATGGCACTGTGGCGCTCGACCAGGAAGAAAACATCGACGCTTTGATACTCTGACACTGATCAGAGACGCCGACCTGGTCAAAGGAAGGTTAACGAGCCGACCAGAGGTCAGCTTCCATTTTTTTGTATCCCCCCTGGGGGCCGCGGCCTGCGCCCTGCTTGCCCAGCGCCGCGTTGCCGCGTGCCTCGTCGTCCTGCAGCGAGCGAAGAACAAATTGCTCACTTGTTCAGGCCATGCAGAAGCCACAGGCACGCATCGCGTTTCCAGCCATGGAGTGCGACAGGCGATTCAGCGCACGCAGTGACGCGTCGTTCAAGAGGAGGAGAATACAGGTTGCGGCGCGAGAGGAGCTGTGTACATCGTCTCGGCAAGTGCCGCCGCGCTGGCGAGCGGGTGTGCCACTGGATGGGCGCAGTGAGCCGATCCGTCCAGCTGGTGTGCAGATCTTCGTTCGGCACTGAACTGTCCGCAGCGTGCGGCGCCGCCGATGGACTGCGGGCGCGCATCCTCGCGCTGCGCGAGACGGTGCGCGGCCCTGCCTCTGCTGAGGAGATCAGGGGGCTCAGGGGTGCTGGGGGGTGCGCGATTCCCGCAGATCTTGTCGTCGACGGAGTGTCCGCCTTAACCGCCCTGCTCGCGGGCCCAGCGCGGCCGCCCTCGGAGAGCTGCGTGGCAGGCCGCCCGTGGTGGTTAGTTGACCAGTTAGTTGAGCGCCGGGTAAATCGAGGACCTAATGGGATGCGACGTTCGGGATGCGCTGGTCGACCCCGTGACCATGGGCGGCGTGGGCCGGGTGCTCGTTCTTGGCGTGTCGGGCGGCCAGATCAGGTGTTGCCGCGACGCGGTCAAGATCAGCGACGAGAAGAAGGCTGTCCCGAGCGCTCCCGCGCAGTTCTTCAACCCAGCAGTGAAGAGGCGACTCGTGTGACTGTGTCGCATGGTCGGCCGCCGTAGTTCCGCTTGCCTCCGCTCGCCAGAGTGCGCGTCGACCTACCCGTCAGCCGCAAGATTGTCGAGTTCTGATGGCTTTGACGGGCGAGAATTGCGAGGACATTGAGCACTCGACTGAGTGCTGCTTTGGCTGACTGTGTTGACTGAGCGGCAGCAGGCATCTGCGCGTGCTCCACCAGTGGTCCCTTCAGCGCGGCCAGCAGAGCGCTCTTGCAGGTGTGTTTCGCGGGTGCGGTCAGTGGGGCACTCCCGGCAGCAGGTTGGCACCGACGAGGTCGCGACGGACTGGTTTGAGCGCCGGGCTCGACAGGCGTGCTTTTCTGTCCTGCCTGTCTCGCCCCGCCTCCCGCCCGTGCTACCCAGCGCCGCTTTCCAGTAGGGTCCGCGCGCCGTGCCCGCCTTAGGCGCGCCCTCAGGTATCCCGCGCGTGCTGTGTCTCGCTTTTTGAATGCATCCGTCTTTCGCATCTTTCCCCGTTTCTATTTCTCTAGCTTGCATTGTTTTAGGGGCTGCGCCAACTGCGCGTGGCAGGTAGGGAGATGCGCCCCCCCCTCATGTTGGGCGCGATCGAAGACGACTAGGGCAGGTGTTGAGGGTTTAGGGGGTACATGTTGAGTGACAAACAAACCCATGCGAGCAAGCAGTCTTAAACTGCTTTTTGAAGCCCCAATCATGACACATAATTACTGTTCATCCCCGTTTCTCTCTGGTGATCCTTGTCATTTTCAGTTGAAGTGCCGCCTTTTCTTGTTGAGGGAACATCTGTTTTGGCTCAGGATGGGTTGCGGGCCCCCCGATCTACAACGACAGCGGCCCCCGCCCGACAACTCGTCGCAGTTCATTCAGAATCGCGTTCCCGCGCGGGAGTTCCCCATAATGTATGCAAGAAGCGTGCTATGGCCGGGGATTCCTTTGCAATTTACCGAGACGCTTCGCCTTCGACGCTCAGGAAACACGGCCCCGCTTAGGACTTCCCAGCGATTTACGGGGGAATCGCGTTATCGTTTGCGACTTCCTGGTGATGCTTGCAGGATTGAAGCTTCAGCGACCCGCCCGCCTCGACCTTGCCGTCTGGGCCCGCTCGCCCGACCCGCCCGTTAGGGTCCAGCCGCCCGACCCGCCCTCCGGTTCAGACGCTTGTTTTTTTGCTCTTAACCCCCGTTCCTGCTAATCTCTCTCGTGCTCCATCCTTATTCCTCCCCTTTGCCCGTTCCCGCCTCCATTCCCTATTCTGTCCCTCCCTGTTCCCTGTGGCATCGAATCTGTGGCATTTCCCTTGCCCTGCCCCGCCCCCCCGCGTCGGCGCGAACGTCCCGGTTCGCGATGCGCCAGCACACATCTCTTCTTGGCCTTCCACCAGCGCGCGGGGGCCGTCTGCCTTCGCAGCTTCGAAGCTGTAAGCAGAGTCGCCGTCGTCGTCGCTCGTCGCTCGTCGTTCATCGCTCCTCGTCGTCGTCATCGTCGTCGTCGTCGTCGTTGTCGACGTCGTCGGCGTCGTCGTCGTTGGCGTTGGCGCCAGCTTCGGCGTTGACGTCGGCGTCTGCGTCGGTATCGTCGTCGGCGTCGTCGCTTGTCGGTCGTCGTCGTCGTGGTCGTTGTTGTCGTCGTCGTCGTCGTCGTCGTCATCATCGTCGTCGTCGTCGTCGTTCGTCGCTCGTCGTTCGTCGCCCGTCGTCGTGGTCGTCGTCGTCGTCGTCGTCGTCGTCGTCGTCGTCGACGTCGTCGTCGGCGTTGGCGTTGGCGTTGGCGTCGGCGTCGTCGTCGTGGTCGGCGTCGTCGTCGTCGTCGTCGTCGTCGTCGTTTTGCTTCGTCGTCGTCGTTGTCGTCATCGTCGTAGTCGTCGTCGACGTCGTCGTCGTCGTCGTCGCTCGTCGCTCGTCGCTTGTCGTCGTCGGCGTCGGCGTCGGCGTCAGTCGTCGTCGTCGTCGTCGTCGTCGTCGTCGTCGTCGTTGTCGAATATTCCAGAAAATAATTATTGTTGATCTCTGGAAACGGTTCTCTGAAAACGATGCTCTCGCGCCAGCGTTGGCTTCAGTGCAAAAGTGTGCCCTTGAAGGCCCGGCTAAAGCGACAACGGCTCCCGCTCGATACTTCCTCAGAATCTACCCCGAGACACCATGGCCAGAGAGGCCCCCGAACTCAAGAACGGCGCTCTCGCTCGAGACTTCTTTGCAATTCAGTCAAGTTGGCGGAGGCCTGCCACGACGACAACGACTCCTGCTCGATACTTCCTCACGATTTACTCCGAGAGCCCCTTGCCAGGAAGGCACCCGAGCTCAGGAACGGTGCTCTCTCTCGAGTCCTTCTCGTGATTCAGTCAAACTTGTGAAGGCTTGACTACGAAGGACAGAGGCTCTCGTTCGATACTTTCTCGAGATGTATTCGCAGAGGCCCTTGCCAGAGAGGCCCCCGAACTCAAGAGTGGTGCTCTCGCTCGAACTCTTTTGTAATTCAGGCAGGTTGGTGGAGGCCCAGACACGGCGACAAGGGTTCCCGTTTGATATTTCCCAGCATGTATTCCGACAGCCCTTGGCCTGGCGAGAGAGGCCCCCGAACTCAGGAACGGCGCTCTAGCTCGAGAGTTCCTTGCACTTCAGTCAGTGGCCAACGCGGGAGATATTCCCCCGAAGGGGGGTACGATCGAGGACGAAGTGGGCGGGTATCGAGGGTTGGGGTATAGAGAAAGCAAAACACATGTGCCAGCTAGAGCGAACAGTCTAAAATGGTCGTCGTCGTTGTCGTCGTCGTCGTCGTCGTCGTCGTCGTCGTCGTCGGCGTCGGCGTCGGCGTCGGCGTCAGCGCCGGCGTCGACGTTGGCGTCGTCGCTCGGCGTCGCCGCCGTCGTCGTCGTCGTCGTCGTCGTCGTCGTCGTCGTCGTCGTCGTCGTCGCCGCCGTCGTCGTCGTCGTCGTCGTCGGCGTCGGCGTTGGCATTGGCGTCGTCGTCGTCGCCGTCGTCGTCGTCGTCGTCGGCGTCTGTGTCGGCGTTGGCGTCGTCGTCTGCGTCTTCGTCGTCGTCATCGTCGTCGTCGTCGTCGTTGTTGTCGTCGTCGTCGTCGTCTTCGTCGACGTCGTCGGCGTCGTCGTCGTCGTCGTCGTCGTCCTCGTCATCGTCGTCGTCGTCGTCGTCGTCGACATCGTCGTCGTCGTCGTCGTCGTCGGCGTCGGTGTCGGCGTCGTCGTCGTCGTCGTCGGCGTCTTCCTCCTTGTCGTCGTCGTCGTCGTCATCGTCGTCGTCGGTGGCGGCGGCGGAGGCGTCGTCGTCGCCGTCGTCGTGGTCGTCGTTGGCGTCGGCGTCGGCGTTGGCGTCGGCGTCGCGGTCGTCGGCGTTGTCAGCTTCGTCGTTGCCATTGTCACCGTCGTCGCACGTCGCTCGTCGCTCGTCGCTCGTCCGTCGTCGTCGTCGGCGTTGGCGTCCGTTGCGTCGTCTGCGTCTGCGTCGGCGTCGACGTCGTCGTCGGCGTCGGCGTCGTCGCTCGTCGTTGTCGTCGTCGTCGTCGTTGTCGTTGTCGTCGTCGTTGTCGTCGTCATCGTTGTCGTCGTCGTCGTCGTCGTCGTCGTCGTCGTCGTCGTCGTCGTCGTCGTCGTTGTCTTCGTCGTCGTCCTCGTCGTCATTGCGCTCATCGTCGTCGTCGTCCTTCTCCTTTGTCGAGGTCGTCGTTGTAGTTGCCGTCGCCGCCGCTGCCGCCGACGTCGTCGTCGTCGTCGTTGCTGTAGTGGACGTCGTCGTAGACGTCGTAAGGATGAGGGTCGTGCGCGCTACATTTCAGTGTCGCCGATGAGGACCCTCGCTACCTCGTTCACTCACTTTCTCACTAGTTCCTCCTATTTTTTTTTTATTGTATGCCAATTTCCTAGTCTTGATGCCGATCCCGTCTGCGATGTCGGCGGGCGCGCAGGTTGTGAAGCTGATGGGGTTGAAGACGTCCGCGAAGGAGCTTCGTCTGCGCGCGCAATGCAGGGCAAGAGGCGACGAGGAAGAGGGGGAGGAGCTGCAGGCGAAAACGCGGGCGGAGGTGCAGGCAAAGGCCCAGGAGGGAGAGGAGGAGGGGCAGGGGGAGCCTGAGGATGAGGGCTTGGGATGCTGGAGGACGAGGCGGGGGTGACGGAGGCGCCTAGTGACGTCGAGGAAGAGCTGGCGGGGAACGAGGAGGACGAGGAGAATGTGGAGTGGGATGATGATGATGATGATGATGATGATGATGATGATGATGATGATGATGGTGGTGGTGGTGATGATGATGCTGATTCTGATGATGATGATGACGACGATGATGTCGATGTTGATGTTGATGTCGATTATGATGATGATGATGATGATGATGATGATGATGATGATGATGATGATGATGATGATGATGATGATGATGATGATGATAATGAGGATGAGGATGAGGAGGAGGAGGAGGAGGAGGAGGAGAAGCAGGAGGAGGCTTACGATGCATGAACGATGCTGCATCGCACCCTTCTGTCCCCAGTCCCCTCTGTACAGGTATGTCTCCCCACTACTGTGAGTGCTCCCTTGAAAGATGAATACCCCCTAGGCACACAACTCAGGCGAGCGCCTTTCTTTTGAAAGAATACCCACTCCCCCCTCCTCCTGGGTTCTTTTGGAACCGCAGTTGTTGCACTTGCTCTTTGCCGACGTCATGGGGCGAAAGCCCCCGCGCGTGCTCGTTAGGCTCTTCGGTTGCACTGTGCTGGCCTTCTCCTTCAGTTGTCATCCTCATTGTGCCGCCTGCCCTTCGGGGACCGCTCCTCTGGGAGCCGGCATGCAGTCCGCTCGCTCGCTCGCTCCCTCCCTCTTTGCAGGAGTGCGGACATCGAATAGGATGCCATCCGATGCATGACCGCCAAGGTCGGGCACGTTTGGTTCAGCGAGAGCCCCGCTCTTTGGGTGGGAGCCGCCTTCACTCCGCACAGCTGCGGCATGCATATCTCTGCTGGCTTTGTAGATTCGTGGCGCTTCGTGTACTCTCGTGGACTCCCAGGGCTACGACGTGCTCCGAATCAACAGCACTGGGACGCACTGGAAGAGAAATCGGGTGCTCACCGCACTGCTCCCTACGGATCAGCAGCAAGTGTCATCTGGCAGGGACTAATGTTGAATCGGGCCTGTCCCTCTACAGGAGGAATGTTCAAAAGTAGTCAAAAGATAGTCTTGGGACGATGTATGGAGTATTGTTGAGCATTTTTTGAATATTTGTTGACTATCTTTTCTTTTTCGTCCAGAATCCCCCTGTAGGGGGACAGGCCCGACGTAAGATGAAAGGGGGGGATGCGACACCGCGTCGGCTGGCATGGTATTGTGTGGTATGTTTAAAACGTCATTGCGCAAACATGGGAGACCGACACAAGTTGAACAAACAAGCGATACGCGGAGGGGCGGATAACCCAAGCCTCTATAGGGTATTCATTGAGGACAAGGCAATAAGTGTGGGCTATCGGCTGCGACCACCTCCAATGTTTAAGCCAGCATCCCATTTCCCCCACACGCATCTTGTTGGATAACATCAGGAGGCGGTGGGTGCAGTTACCCTTTGGAACTTGCTCACAAACTTTATTGACGGAGTGACGCGCGGACTCTGTTCTTCCAAATCCATGATTCGGGCGCGAGGGCGATTATGGTGACGACGACATCGGCGACGACGATGGTGATGATGATGGTGCTGGTGGTTGTGATGATGACGAGGGCGACGACAACGACGCTGTCAATCACGTCGATGTTGGCGACGTTACGACGTTGGTGAGGGTGATGAAGGTGATGAAGGTGATGATGATGATGATGATGATGATGATGATGATGATGATGACGATGGTGCTGATGATGATGATGTTGAAGAGAGTTTTTAGGACGCCAGTTGCAATTCCATTCGTGCAAGCGCTGCTTGGGGAACCGACCCACGCGTTGGGAAACCAGATGCGCTTGTTGACTGCAACAGTTGGTCCTAGTTGCCCCATATGCTCTCCAGTTGTCCAGGGTGCCGTGAACTGACTGTACCAAGTGGTTCCGGTTGCCGCAGTTGCTCGTCGACCAGGACAGTTGGTCCCAGTTGCCCCAGTTAGTCAATTGGGACCAGTTGGGGCTTCTTGGATCAGACTTGGGCCACTTTTGGGACCAACTGGGGTCTTCTGAGCCAACTGGCATCAACAGGGACCAGGGCGCGTTGATTTGATTACCCACCTGGCCAAATTTGTTCCAGTCACTCCCCGGGGCCCCTCTAGAGCTCTCTTGGAACATTTGGGGCCATCGTGAGGCTCAGTGGCCCATCGGGAGGAAAAAGGCGAGACGGCAACAACCATAACTTTTTTGCATGCTTTGGGGCGATTTTCGCTTGGGAGGTTCCCTGGGGGGCGGGGCACTTGGAGCCGTCTTTGGGCCGTCCGAGGGCTCCTCGGAGATGTGTCGGAGGCTATATGATATCATTTTCGGCC